CACTCCACCTCGAGGTGAATCAGATCGGTTGCATGATTAGACCTCTAATAAGGTAGACTAATGGATAAAAATGAATATTATTAAGATAAGAACCACACGTGGATAGAGCCACGTGGCCTAGTAGAATTGGTTAGTACGAACGGACGATTCAGGCAGTCTATACGAGCGGCCTTGGGCAATTAGGTAATACGCCCCTATATATAGGGGTGAGGCATGCACATTGCAACATTACCTTCTCTATATACTTATATAGCTTTACATACATTGTTCATCGTCTTCTTTATATGTATATTGTCTTGATCTTCGCTAACAGTGGCCTATTTTACAGGTCTATAAACAGGTCAGAGAGCAAATTAAGTCATGTGGGTCGGACACAAGTCTATTACACACCACTATGTTAGTAATTTAATTATTCAACTCGAGTCCACCCATCCCTTATGGAAGGCTTCCCGAACCAGCCTGCAAACCGAGTTACCAACAATTTTCCAGTTCTCACAATAAATTGATCATATGAATTTATGTTAAATTCAAATATAATGAATAAATATAATATCTAATTTTCTTGTTCTTCATTTTATTACATATTTAATACAACCATCTATCAAATCTCGATCTATTAAAAATTTAGAATTGTTCTCCTAAGAGCATCCTCAGTGCTTTGAGTTCAATCACAAAAAAATGGTATGCCATCTAAAAAATAGGATTTATTTACTTAAATAAAAATTAAAAAAAATAAGTGGACAAAAATAAAACAAAAAAATAAAATGAGGACCAAAATCAAACGCTCGTATTATGAGAATACGTTTTACAATGTAAAACGTATTCTCGAAATACGTTTTATTATCATTAAATTAATCACATAATTAAGTCAACGTAGACGTATTTCGATAATACGTTTTATAAATAAAACTAATTTTATAATTAATATTTAATTATAAAACATATTTTTGTAATCCGTTTTACAACTAATTAATTGTAAAACGTATTTCTAAAATACGTTTTATAAATAAAATTAATTTAATAATTTATATGTAATTTTTTTTTTATTTTTTGCAATATATTAGCTTATTTAATGAGGCGACTTCGGGTGTTCCGTCGAGTCACGATAAGCGAATTGAACAATAACGAAAAGTACTTTCGTGAAAGCAAAAGAAGAGGAGAATCCGTTTGTGGCGTCGATTTATTATTTCGAGGTCCCGATCATTTATTTAGAGAAGTTCGAGTTCGAGGGTGCATATTAGTACAATAAATGAAAAATCTGTTTATGTGGGTCCCGCAAGGTCGTGTGTGACTTCGGTTTATTGAAAATCGAGTTGGGACTTGAAGATGATTCAGGCACGATGTCATGCGGGGCATTGATCAAGTATTTCAGAGTTCCAAGAATTTAATTAGAGAAGCTTGAATTCCCGTGGGAATAGTAGAAAAATGAGTGAATTTGTCAAGGCAAGTTCGAGCGTTCGAGGCTTCGTTTTTTTTTTTATTCTTTCAGTTTTTCGTCTATTCAAGAGGATGTATAAATCTTGACTATCATTTTAGTTAATTCCATGATTTTTCTTAGTATTTTTCGAGTCCAATCAGTTCAGTTTAAGTATAC